TTTACAAATCAGTGTACATTAAAATATATTCATCTGGTTCTATAAAAAATAAATTTAATGAAACTTAACCATTTAAAAAAAAAATCTTATTTCATATTCATAGGTGTTCCAGTTGTTTTCACATTTATTATGAAACAAAAACAGACAAAGAAATAGCTAAACATGTGCAAAACACCTAACAGTTTCTTTCATAAACAAACAATATGTAGTAATATATTTCTTCTCAACATTTTAGACAATGGAAATGCACTGTAATTGTTGTGTACATCACCAACTGAAGAAGCAAATGAAGAGCTCTGGTTTTCAATGGAGTGGAAACAAAATGATTGATAAAGGTCATATATAATTGAATTTTCTGATAAATACTGTATTAATAACATATGAATTAATGCAACAATATTCTCTTTAATCTATATCTTCGTAGGTATGCAAATATTACCTAATGTAGCTGAAGCACAAACACAAACTACTGAAAGTGCATTAAGAAGTGAAGTTGATGTGACAGACATTTCTATTGATGATGATAGCGATGAGGGATTTGATGCAGATGACAAAATAAACGATCCTGATTACATTCCTGAGGATGATAGCGACACAGAAGATGAACTAGATGAATTTGATACAGGAGCGTAAGTTGACTTTTATTTTACATTTTTCCTGTATTATTATGTCATAATATTTTTAATAGATCTATTGTTTGATTTATGTTTACATTAATTCTTGTAATGTCCATCACAATTTTAATCTGTACATTTGTATTTTCACATTGTTGCGCAGCGCCTTTACGCATAAATTTATAATGAAAAGATGTTTATATAAAATATAATAATAAATTTATTACGCACCATTTTCCAAAGGGCCGTCATGTGACTTCATGTTTATTTTTTAATCTTAAACTTAGGAATGTTGAGGGAGAAGAAAGAAAATTCATAGTCTTTAAATCGGCTCTACTGGCAGCATTTGGTTCATGCCCAATTTGTGGCCATTCTGCAGAAACGAAGATTTGTGCTGTTGTAGGCACATTCTGTAGACTACAGCAAGTGTGCAATGGCTGCAATTTCAAGAGGGAGTGGAACAGCCAGTCATTTGTTGGGTCAACTGCAGCAGGAAACATTATGTTTTCTGCTGCATTGATTCTCTCTGGACCTTCAATACAGAAGGTACTTCGACTGTTTAGTCATATTGGCATTTCAACTATCGCAAGGCAGACTTTCTCTAAACACCAAAGGCTGCATGTTCTGCCCAGTATCATACAATTATGGGAAAAAGAAAGAAACTCAAGGTTGGAAGCCCTTGCTGCTGATGAAGAAGTAGTTTTAGGAGGGGATGGAAGGGCAGACTCACCTGGACACTCTGCCAAGTATGGTGCCTATACGATGATGAATTTGAAAACATGCAAGATTGTCGATGTCCAGCTAGTACAGGTAAAACAGTTATTAAATATATTGTTTCAGAAGAAACTTTTTAAGGGAGCATTTTCTGTTCACCTGCCTATTTATATACTTTATTACTCAATTTTACTTATATTGTAAATTTTTACATTTTATATTATAAATTTGCATGTGAATTTAAACACACTATTTTTTGTATGTTTTTAAAGCAAACACATAAAAGAATAATACTATTACTGTATTTGTTTGCAGTCTAATGAAGTTACTTCTAGCAGTGCAATGGAAAAGGAAGGGCTGGTAAGAAGCATTGCATCCCTAAGAGAGAGTGGTGTTTCCATCAATACTCTGGTGACTGACCGCCACTCCCAAATACGGAAGTGGATGAAAGACAAACTTGCAGATGTTCACCACAAATATGATATTTGGCACATCAGCAAAAGTATGTAGAAATTATTTATTATTTCAAATTTGGCATTTTAAAAATGTCTATAAGCATATCTATAAAAAAAAAAATGAATTGACATATAGACTAATCTAAACCATCATTTTATCTTACAAAAAGGCTTAAACAAGAAATTGAAGGCAGCTGCTAATCTTTCCAATTGCGCATCAATTAAGCCTTGGATACAAAGCATTACCAACCACTTGTACTGGTGTGCTATATCCACACCTGATGGGAATGCCGAATTAAAAGTTGCAAAGTGGAAATCAATAGCAAGCCACATACAAAATATTCATTCTGGACATGACGACCTATTTCCGAACTGTCTCCACGGTCCGCTGGTTGGCCGAGAACGTAAAAAGAAATGGATGGTGCCAGGTAAATACTTACAACTGTATATTATTATTACTAAGGCATATACTGTATTATTGTTTACTGTAACATTATTTGATCAATTCTATTTCAGGAAGCAAGGCCACTCAGGTCCTCTTGCCTATAATATTAAACCACAGGCTGTGCCAAGATGTGAAAATTATGAGCGAAACATTTCAAACATCAAAATTAGAAGCATTCCACTCAACATTGAATCATTTCGCTCCAAAAATTAATCATTTTTCATATTGGGGTCAAAAGTGCAGGCAAGTTGATATTTTAATAATTGGTATTTTACTGAATGACCTTGTATTTGTTGTTCTACATTGTTTATATTGTTTATTGAGTAATAAAATTTGTTTATATGTACTTATTATTATTACCACTACCACTGACACTAAATCAATAACGTTAAGAGGGTCGGAATGGCTAAGAATGAACAATGTAAAACAATGTCAATAATGACTCTGGAAAGGCTTAATCAACTATGTAACAACATGAATGTATTGTCGTGTATTTGTGTAAAACCTTATTTATCATACACATTTTCAGGACTCTGGTAGCAGCAGTGCACTATAATGAAAATGGTGGACGTATCCAAGCCTCAACGAATGATGGAGAGAAATGTTTTGGGGTAGCATTCCCTAAATTCAAAAAGGAGGGCTTTGTTGTGAAGCCTGTTTATGTTGAACAAACATTCAGTAAGTTATATTACCCATATATTTCTATATATATATTTTTATTTTGGATAACAAAATAATAATAATAATAATAATAATAATAATAATCTTGTAGAAATGTGCGCTAATATAAATGTTAATGTTAAGTTAATATTACTTAAATATTTATATAGTGCCAATCCCAAATTGAATGACCAAATGTGCTGATATAACAGTACTCTAAATATTGATTTGATTAAGTGCTTTTTTTTAAAAACTATTTTAATTATGCAGAGTATGCAGATACAGTAATGGCACGAGTAATGGAAACATGCGCTGAAGGAGAGGTACACCATTTAGAAGCACCTCCTTCTGCTTTATGCTCCCACTTTGAACATCCAAACAAACAGGAGGCTGTAGCACTTCATCGCTCACGTTTTGTTTGAGATGGTGTAGCATGTTTCAGAGTGAAATTATGTGTTCTCATGATATTTGTTCTCCAGCCCTTTTTTGACCAGTATAAATGCTGTCTCTTATACACATCTAGATGTGTATAAGAGACAGGTGTGCAATGGCTGCAATTTCAAGAGGGAGTGGAACAGCCAGTCATTTGTTGGGTCAACTGCAGCAGGAAACATTATGTTTTCTGCTGCA